GCAAAATGTCTACTTAATTGTCGTGTATCACGTAAAGATGACACAGTTATAATACTCTTGAATAGTTAAACTTTCTACCTTGACCTCTTCTATCATCAACAGCACTAGTCGTATGTAACCTCTTCAGAGTTTATGTACAGCTCCTACTAAAATATGAAATTATATCATTATCTGTCACACAGAATAGCTTTCACCAGCCAAATCTTTGATTTCTACAGGTTTTTGTATGTGGCATTTCTGCCCCTTGAATCATTCACTAAACTACTGTATTGCTGGGAATACTATATATAGCATAACTGTCTATACTTTTACAATCATTATGTTATTATGGTACTCTGATTGGTTGGATGACGGTCAGTCCACGTGGAACCTGTCAACAGTAAACACATCTATACTCTGGTGAAGATCACTTTCATACAATAGTGGAGAATATCCCATAATGTTTGTATTTTATATTCATTTTATTCACTGTTTCCATAATTATCTCCAATGCTGTAAACTTAAAAAAATGATAATTCTAAATTTTCTACTTCTGTATATTTCCACAAATTTTTTCAGTTTCTCACTCCTTCGTGAGACTAGTTTCTCTTCTCAAATTCTTTGTAACCTAATACTATATTATGTATATCACTTATATATGGATTTATTCATTTTTACTTATTTATTCAAATTATAAATCTCTTTAGGTGCTACTAATAATATTATAATAAAATAACTTAAAAGTAAATATATTATCACTTGTAACCGTTTTTTTTTCTATCAGCAAGATGGTGTTCTGTGTAGCTACAGTGTTAGTCTTGTGGGCAATATTTCACACCTAGAACAGTATTTTTAGTTGTTCTGTTTGTAATTAAGCACAAAGCTACACAATAGGCTATCTGTGCTCTGCTCAGCACGGGTATCGAAACCCGGTTTCTATCGTTGTAAGTCCGCAGACATACCGTTTAGTTGTTCTACCGATAGGTTTAACCAAAGCTTGACAAATATCGTTGGCTCGAAACGTCGTCGTCTAGCCAATGTTTTATTTTTGTATTTACTTAGGCGATATTATTCTATTCACTTATAACAGTACATTATAAGATTGCTGGCGGGTGAGCGGGAAGTTTCCGGACTTACAACGATAGAATGCGGGATTCGATTTCCCATGGCGAACAGAGCGCAGGTAGCCCGCCCATTGGGTGGCTTTTCACTAAAAACAAAACAAGAACTGGCAATAAATAAAAATGTACGTTTTACACTAAGAGAGAGCGAGAGACCATACATTTGCTAATTCTGATTTTATATTGATTGTTGATGGTAAATGTCTCAAAACATCTTTAATTATGTCTTTCATAAATCACTAATTTGAATTTCTTACACAATCTAAAGTAGTGCTCCCAACAAGCTCTCGTAGCTTGAGAGTATTGACCAACTTAAATGGTAAAATATCATATCATATATGGTACTAATTGATACAGTATATTAAATTTTAATACAAATTATATCACAAGGTACCTGTAATTTATCTATTTTTTTGACTTACAATTGTGCAAGCAGCACATGGTGTTTAGGTTTACTAAAAATATGATGCAACAACAAAAAACAAAAAAGGTGAATAGAGAATAACATAAAAACTTATTTGGAAGTTTGCCAAACTTTTTGGCTTATTTTTTTTAATACACGAACAGTTATCGCTCAAGTTAGTAACTTTTTGATCTCACGTATTCACCGAAACAACAGCAGCTAGGCTACATAGTGAGTCACGTGCATCATGTGACTTAATACACGAAGTTTATTTGGATGTCTGGTCCTTAGAGTACTGAAGTAGATTACATAAATCCTGACAATGGTTGGCTAGGGACTACCTTCACTGAATACAAAAAGCATGAACATCTAAAGTATAAAAAGAGAAATCAACAAATTCCATACAAAAGGGTAATGACACTTCTTTAAGAAAATAAAGCAACAAAAAAAAAACGTAAAAACTAATGAAGTTGCAAATATGACATTTACCTCCCTCTGAAGCCAAGTTTACATAACGTACAGCGTGCCAGTGAAAAACAGAATATTACATTTGAAATAATACTTTTCAATAAATGACAAATGGGTAATTCTAAGAAAATTTGATCACATTTTTCATGAAATAAAGACATAATAAAAGTATCCAGTTTACAGATTTCGCCCAAATTACCGATTCTTTTTTTTTGTAGAAAATAAAAATTAATTAATATTATACTTTTTACCTATTCTTCTAGAAATACTATTTGTAGTTGATCAACAGAGAAAAACAAACTTCTGAGAGTTTGTGACAAAACCTTTTATTTGAAATATTGGTTATAATAATTCCATTTTAGCTTCATTTGAGAAACATCAAATAGCATTTACCCCAATAATCAGGTTCTCGTGTATATGAATCAAGAGTTTATATTTATTAATCGTGTATTATTTATAGAGGTAAATTACCAGCAAAAAAAAAAAAAAGATATTTTTTGAAATATTTTTAAAAGTAATTATGGAAATTGGTGAGAAAAAATGGCATAAAAGGCAAATATTATGGAAATGCCAACTAGTTACATGCTTATAGTGCATACAAATGACTGGTTGTCATCCAACTAATAAGAACGTGCCACACCAGTATAGAGCCTCTGAAAGTACAAGTAGTCATTGTTTATCGTGATTTTCGCGCAAAGCTATTCAAGGGCTGTCTGCCCTAAGTTAGAAATGATAAACACCACCCAATTCTTGGGCTACTTTAATTGAACATTATAACGCCATCACACCTGAAATGGCAAGCATGTTTGGTGATGGAATTCGAACCCATGACCCATTGTTTGCGAGTCGAACACCCTCATTAACAGGCCCACAGGTAGTCATACTATGCCCAGTAGTAACCGTGTAAATCTAGTCATAGCTCGCAGAAATGCACCACCCATAGCCAAAATTTTGGCAGTTCAAGGATAAACCCTGTGAAAAAAAATCTATATTTCAGCAGAGCCTGTATATACTACTGTGAATATAGTATGTGAAACTAACATTGTTAATAATAAAAACTATCGAAACGGACAACCGAAACTCTCGGTATTGTTAAGTATCTTGGGGTATGTTCTTTACAAGATAAACGACGGTTGAGCAATATCTTGCCAACAACGTTGCTGTAAATACAGGAATGAATGTTACTTTGAGAACAGTAAGATACACGTTGGCACAAATGGTCTTAATATACGTGTGGTGGATCGAAAACAGGTGTTGAGACGTAATCAAACCAAAACGTTTAAATGGACATAGTACCACATTGTGGAAGAGCAAATCTGGTGACGCGTACTCTTTGCATATAAGTCTAAGATTGAAATGTTTGGCAACGATCAACAACAGTTTCTACGAGAGGAGGATAGTATTATAGTCAATGAGCAACATCAACATCAAAGCGTGCTAAGGGACCACAATATTTGGGAGATCTACACTAAACTGATGACACTTTGACTGCCAACAACTACGGTCAAATTCTGATCCAACACCATTCCTTCACGAACACAACTCATAGGGGAAGGATTCATGTTCCTGCTATATAGTGATCCCAAAAATACAGTAAATAATACCCCTTGAATATTATGCATGTGTTCATGCGCAGTTATGGAAATTTTCGATATACACGGATCAGTTGCACGTAATGCCAAGAAGATGGTGAACTTGTTAATGGTATAAAATATCACAGAAAATACCCAAGAAATGTACAACGCACTGATATTTTTTATGTGAACGCTTTGCTTTATACAGTGTATTCTACACAGTTTCATACTGCCATACAGGCTATGAATGTAATATTACCGAACATTATTCCGAGTGCCCTGTAATTCAGATAAGTTGTTTAGTTATCTTTTGATCTCAGTTTCTATACAAGTCTGTATAGTCACAAAGATATTCATATCAAGACTTTTCGCAAGCTAAGTCATGGTTGTGAGTGGTCCATTGACATCATTACAGTCAAGATATTTTACTATCAACTATTTATCTTTGCCTTTTTATTTTCATATTTGGTTATAATGCACATAAGCTAATTGCTATAATTATATTACCCATTTCATTAGTATAACTGTATACTTTTATTAGCTTAGTTGGCGCCCTCTAGTGGCGTTACGTGTAACAAATAAAATATATAATTCTTAAGGTCTAGTTCACGATATACCGGTACAAAGCAGTCGTTGTTTCGCAACAGTGTCTGAATACCTGTGTTTTTAAAACTCAATAAAAATTTATGACTCAAAGAAACTTGCTCAATGAATTGTACAAACACTTCGCTAGTACTTCATTACTAGCCTCTTATCTTTATTTTCATTTGTAGAAATGTTTTAGTGAGTACTTAACTTTGTTTACACTTCATTATACGTGAAAAGTAATCATTTAAAAATAAAAACGGCTTCCATAAATTACAAACCCGCAAGAAATTACTCAAATACAGTGTATGTTGTATTAATGGCGTTGAATCGATATTTTTTTTTTCATAAAAAGAATAATTAGTGAACTAAATGTATAATGTTAGTTGGGAAAAGCTTAATGTTCTTTAATAAGCGTTAGAATGTTGACAGGTACAATGATGCTAAGTTCTGGACTGGTTGTCCCGAAACCTATTACTCTGATCAATTAGAAGACCACGGCCTTGAAAAACTTCGAAATTTTCAAGGTGACATCATATTACACTTGTATTAGAGTGAAAAGTTACAGCATTTCAAAACTGTGCAAAATAATACAATACTACAGTGTATAACACCCGTGCTAAACATTTTAGAGCCAATCTTTATCATAGGTAATTTTTAAAATTGAACTGCATCCTTATGTATATATAACCACTTTGTCAGAATAGGTCATAATTAGTTAGGTTGCTAGATTATATGATAGAATAAGAGGAAACTTGAAATCATTTCCAATTAAATATTGAAAGTAAGCAAGCTTCAATTATGACATTGTAGAAAATAACTGTATAAAAAAAGTGTAGGATACAATTTTTTTTTAAATAAACTTTTCAATACTGATTCACAACATTTTATTTGTGGTACAGAAAACAGTGGTTTTACAGCATCACTTTGTGCACTCCACAAACATTCACTGCCAACTTTTTGTGGCTTCTATCCTAAACATTCTGCTCTGGTGAATGTAAATCAAAGTACGACTGATCCTGAAACATCAACATATTCACTTATTACTGTCTTCATTGAAAATGAATGAATATTTTTTGCTAACCACCATTTCTGACACAAACTCTGGCCATCAACACACACCATCAATTCAACAAACTGAGTTTATAAAGCTACAAGTAATATTTTAATAATGTTCCATATTAACAGGTTAATTTTATTTTTATTTTAAATTTAAGTTGTGTTGGGCACCTGGTGGTATGGTATAATTTCAAGCATACTATTTCCACAACAAATACTGGATTATCTTTAAATACAATTTTCACCTCTAGATATTATTCTTATATAACCAAAAGCATTTGACCTACTGACAACAAAACACAATTTCTAATTAAAATAATATCTTTTCTTAGGAATCATTTTTCAACCACAAAAAAAAGTTTCATTGCCTGTAGAAAGAATAATATTTTAATTATTTAAATCATTGTGTTTTTTATTCTATTCCATGGTAGTGGATAAGTTCCTAGCTTAATCTGATTTATTAAGCTAAGAGATTCTGATCTTACAAATAAACTTGAAAGTACCAATCAAGTAGTTTGTTTCAGGAGGACAAAAATTGAATATCCTATCTATCTGTTTTGTTTAATAATATCTTTGAGATGTAAAGTAAGATTTAGTTTACTATTGTCTGAACCTAGTTAGAAATACATAACTATATTCAAGAGGGTCAATCAGGCAGGAATTTGTTGGACATACTGTTATGGTGTTTACAAGATACTCTATGAACTTATTTTGTTGATCCCTTCTGAACATAACTACTAGCCATGAGGATAGCAGTTAAATTCATCAGTAGTCTTCTCCTCGGCTGACCACCTCCTTACACGTAGGTCGCAAAATGATAGTGTGCTCAAACTGAGCAGTATAGCAACCCTTGATATCACACAGTGGAGGATATGGAACAACGATTCCTTTGTCACACAGGTCTTTTAGGGCCAAAAGATACTTAGTCTGCCCTAGTCTGTCTAACCATCGTCGGCAAAATGCAAGGGTTCCAAAGTTTTGGTTTATGACATTGAGCAACTGTTTGGATCGAGTTAACCTGATTGTAAAAGTTAAAAAAAAGGGATTCACAAACTATATACAACAAAGAACATAAATAGCAAAATGGAAATTTTAAAATTAAAAGTTCTAAGCAAGTTAATTAATGCTGAAATGCTTTGATCCACTTTCTACAGTATACGTAAAACTAACATCTTCCTCTACACAGTTTACATTTTTCAATTCAACTTTAATATTCAGTGAAATGTAAAAAAATAAGAAAAAAAGGCTCTTTTCCTGACAGTCCTACTAATATGTATCTTCACTGATGGAATTAAATTTCTTTTGATAACATTTTTGTAAAACATGGTATAAATTATATATAAAACTTTCTAAAGCAACTTTTCTACTACAATTTGCTTATATATTTTTTATTACTTCAAGAAAAAAAAAGCGATATTAGTTTTAATACAAGTTATGGAAACTAAATTGCAAATGCCTTTTAATATAAACACACTTTAAAATGTGTTTAGTCATTACTTAAATTATATTTTCAGGTTAGCTCAATAATATATATTGAAGCTCATTTGTAAAGTATTGTTAAAATATGGTACATTTTTAAGCCATCAATCATACAAAATTTCCACCTAAAAGTATTAAAGTATGTTTCACTTCCAAAACAAAAATCTTTGAAAATACTGAAATATTTCATATTTTTTCAAAGCAGTTCAACAGTTTTCTAGTTTTAAAGCTATGCCAATCTTGCTTCCTAAAGTGCAAAAGAGGAGATAAACACACTGAAGCTGAAAATTTATTGTTGATTTTTCTTACCTTAATGGAACATGACCAACATCATAGTCCTTCATGTAATGTGAAACCTCCATGTCATCATGAACATATCCTTTTCCTGTGCTACCAAAGGTCTCAATAGCATAAAACTCTCCTTCCTACATAATATTACATCATTACAGTAGCTTAAACAATTTCATTAATAGTTTACAAACTGAACTCATAGTAAAGTCAGGAATCAAAGTGAAAATCAGTACCCTACCCAATCTTCTGTTAAATTAAATAATACCAAAGCACCTTAGGCTCTATAAGAAAATTTTAAGTGAATCACAAGCAAAAGGTTCAACATATTCCAAAGACTGGTTTCTCAGTTTATATTTTCCAATATCATTTTCCTTGACTTGAACTTAAGATTATTTACAGTTCAATAAGGAAACACATATAAAGTAGACCTTTCACACAACTAGCCAAGTTAAAGATTCAAAAACAGGATATACCAGTACTGTTTATGCTGAAAACTACCAACACAGAGAATAAAATTACTTTGGTTTGAGTTATTTAACTTGATACTAATAAGATTCTAATTTTTTTTCTTTCTATGGTAAATTTCAAAAATAATATCTACTGCCCCACAGTTCTCCATACACACATTATTGTATGTAAGAAATATAATTATTTGAAAAATAAATTGGTAGAACAGAAAATTAATAAATGAAATTATGTATTTTACAATTATTTAAATGGTAAAGCTGTGTTTTTAAAAGTTTGACATTCATGCAAGAACAATCAAACAAGTTGGTCTATTACTTGACAACTACAAAATCAGTAAAAGAAAAAGTAAAACTAGGTAAGTAACATGTCTTTTTAATGCCATAAAATAGTAGAAAAAACAAACCAGTATCATTAATTTGGTCTCTGAAAATAGCAATCTGTCTAAGAATTTATCCATAAACCCATCAGTATATTATATATTTTAACAAACTATGATGGCATTTTATAAACTTTTAGGACAAACCAGCATTAAGTGTCTTTTCTGTCAATCTAACATTTTTACTTTTGTACAATCCTACATACCTCCATACGTGTAGCTTCTCCACCTTTTACAATTGGTACTGTTTTTCCTGCATGAATCCGGTATGGGCCTATTGAATGCCCATTAAGATTTCTGATGGACTTAACTTAAAGAGAAAAGTAAAATGCACTAATCATTAGTAATATTTTATAAACTTTTCATAACATTTTACTTTACTTTACGAACTATGATTATTAAAAACATTTAGCACAAAAGAAATCTTCAACACTAACTTGGACCAAAAGCCTAGATAACTTGTGGTTTTCTCAATAAGTAAATGTTTAACAATTTTTACACCTTTGAAGTCATTCACACAGGAAAAAAATTAAATCAAGCTCTTCACAAAATATTCAAGAGAAATAATAAAATTTCATGAAATATAAGGTTTCTAGTAAACCCTATCACCATGGGTATCCTTTACTTTGCATGACACAAGATTTTAGTGTCTTACATTCAAAATTTTATTAAACATCTTAGTATAAAAAAATTAGAGTTAACTCTCTTCAAAAACCGACAGCAAGAAAAATGAAGATTGGTTAAGTATTTTATTTCTTGTTTTTCATGTTTATTTTTTATATATAATTATAAAAGTAACTAAAATGTAAAAATAGGTATCCTTTTAGATTAGATTAGCTAAAATAAATAAAAATAATAATATTATAATAAAAATGTTTCACGAGGCACACATGCAAGCAGCTCGTGGGTAATGTAATTCATTAGTGTAATGTGAGCTGCACATTCCCCAAGTGACTTACAACTTATAATGGCATGGATAGTAGTTAGACATGGTTCAAAGGGCAATAAAACAATAATATTTAATTATAAATAGATGTATACTGTTACAAACTTCGAGCTAATTAAAATAAACGAATGTAGTTTCATGTTACAATTTGAAGTCATTCTAGAAAGAAAAAAAAAGGTAAATTAGGTTTATTTTGATTTTTTTTTGGTGGTTACAGGTTGGTCGAATTTACCATTCTTTTTTTGAGATAGGGTAAAAAAAATAATAGATAAACTATAAAGTTTTACAGAAAAAAAAACGTTTGAAATGCATTTAGGATGTTTTAGGGATTACAAAAAGGAAATTTGAGATTTTTGAGAAGAGGAAAAGTGTTTTGAATTTTAACATGAAAATCACTTTGCACACAGACTATTCTAAACAAATACTCAATATATTCATGGACAAATCTTTATTTTATTTTATTGAAAATACTTCACTAAAAATATGATTTTTTGTATGTGAAAGACATAATATTAACTGAAAGACT